TTTTTACCTAGACTGCCTTTTCCTAAGTAAAATCATACTTATTCTTCAAGTTGCAACTCAGTGCCCCCCACCCCCCATGTTCAATAAACTCTTCTGTAAATCCTGTAAGTAATTAAATTAATCCCTTCTCTAGGTCCCTACAACTCTTTGATTATAACACTGGTGTAGCATATATATATCATACAGATTCATGTTTGTTGCTGTGTCCCATAGTACAGCATGTTCTCTGGCAGTGGAAATCTATTTATCTACATTCATAGTAGGCTCTAAATTAAAATGTATTTAACTAACCTGAGCACTTAATACGGAATTTATAATACCTGTTCTAGAAATTCCTAATCTTTTTTTCATTTGTACTTTTTGTTTTTCTTTTCTGGTTGCAAATGTTATACATCCTAAGAAGATAATACAATCATTAATAAACGGGAATGCTATTTTAGATTGTGGTGAATAAAAGAATAAGTTTGTTCTACTATGCTGTTTTATTTTACTATTTATAATAAGCTTTGTTTTACCACTGAGTTTCATCAAGAATAAAGAATTTAAAAAGTGAGACTTTCCCTACTTCCTATGTAAAAAATAAATAGACCATGTCAAGGAACTGATTACTTTTTATAGAAGAAATGAGAAAATAAAAGTGAATTACACATTTTCATTGTAAACTTCTTTTAAAAAAGCATTTAAATTGGAACAGTAATTCCCCTTGGGGATATTTTTATTTGGTAGGAGACTACACAGTTTACATAATATAGTAGTAGGTAGAGAAAATGGAAAAAAATTCTTCATATTCAAGAAAATACCCATGATTGAGTTTCTCCTGTTACCACAAAATGTTAATTCTTTGAGTAGCCAAATCACCAATACTGGTTATTCTAACATATAAGAAAAAAACAAAACGCATATATGATTTCCATTACAATAGAAATCTAGTAATATGTGGTCAAGTTAATGAGTGAAAATGTTTGAAAATAACTTGTCTCCATTTAACCCAAAATTCAGGTGACATTCCAGTTATATAAAAAACAAAATTCTGTTTTGTGAGATGACTAATTACTGTTACTACTGCTTTTCCCTAGAGCCCTTTGTCTCCCACTGTGTTTTTCCAAGAAAATATGTTGAAATATTTGCCTCTTCTCTCAATCACCACACTATTTCATACTGGGATGATAGTAGTATTAGTTGTCCAAAACTTTTTAATTAATAGTTTAAAATGGCTTAGGTATCAACACCTTCAGTTAGTAGAAATGTTCTGCCAAGGTTGTAAGTTCAAATTTCCAGAATTACAATACTTAAAAAAAAAGAGAAGCAGAATAAGGGGCATTACAATTAGCACATGTAACATGGGGTAACGTGGCTGCAACGGAAGGGCTGTAGCTAGACTGCTGGAAGCTAGTGGTCAAGCTGGGGATGTATAAGATACCAATAATAATGTCTTTTTTTAAAAAGTCACGTATGTATTAGCATGTATAATGTGGGGGGAGAGCACAGGGAGGGCTGTACAACACAGAGAAGATAAGTAGTGATTCTACAGCATCTTACTACACTGATGGACAGTGACTGTAATTGGGTATGTGGGGGGGACCTGGTGAAGCAGGGAGTCTAGTAAACATAATGCTCCTCATGTAATTGTATATTAATGACACCAAAATAAAAAACAAAAACAAAAGCAAAAACAACAAAACAAAACAAAAATTCACAGATGTATCTCTTAAAAGATAGAAGCTGAATTTGGGTGTGTCTTTCAAATCAAATCTTCTTACCCTCAAACATTATTTTCTTTCCAATCCCCCGTTTATGTCCCTCCTTCTCTCCCCATCAGCCAAAACACAGCTAGGAAGCCAAGAAGGACATCTACCAAGAAGCGGAGAAAAGCCGACCCCATCCTGTCTCCCCAAGGTGGCCTTTGAACCCCTGATAGCCAAATGGCGGAAAGAGAATAATCCAAAATTGGGAGAATGTATAGCTTTTTATATCAGACTAGATTAGATCTTTATTAAGTGACTAGAAAAGCTGAACTGGTCAAGATTATATTCAGGGCAGAGTCCTTAGAAGCTGAAGGATTAGCTGGTTTCTCCTTTTATTTTACAATAACCAGCTTGATAGTTCAATAAACATGAAGACATACATGTGTATCTTTATCCATATCTATACCTATATCTAGACACAAGCACACACACTCATGTATGTTAGCACAAGGCTGTTAATTACATTTTAAAATGTATTATGCTTTTCCCAACTTTTGACATTTTTCCCTTTTCCTTGAAATTCTTTCAATTTATCTTTATATAGTTTGAGGCTACATTGTTAGGCTCACATGGATTCAGAATTACAGCTTCCAGGTAAATTATTTTATCCATATGTAAGAATTAGTTGTTCCTAATAAATCTTTTGCTCTGTGGCCTATTTGGTTTGACATTAATCTAAAGACAGTCACTTTCTATCTGTCTTAAATATCTATCTTCCTGCATCTGTGTTCATGAAGCATGTCTCTTCTAAACAGCCAGGGCTGGCTTTTGATATTTCATTCAATATGAGACCGTTTAGCTTTTCTCTGACACATTTAATCCATTTTATTATATTTATTTATATTTTAGATTTTCTTCTATGACCTTAGTTTGTGTTTTTATTTTAATGATTTTTCAATCCTTTTTTCTAATCTTCAATTTATCAAAATTTCCATATTTCCTTTTTTCTACTTCACTGACTGCCACCCACACTGACTTTATTTTCTAGACTTTGTAGGTACACTTAAAACAAGTTAATCTTCTTAGATAACAAGGAGTTTAAAAAAATTAAAGCCTTTGTCTTTTGGCTTCTGATGAAAAGAAGCAGGCCCAGCCTTCCTACTCTGAAATCCCACCCGGCTGAAGCAAGACTTTTAGCTCTTCCAAGTATCTTCAGATTTCTCAATAACATTTGTATGCTATTTTTTTAATGTGTTGTTTTGGATACTGTCTATTGAGTTACTGTTATGGGATTTTTTTCCTCTTTACAATTATCCCAGGACATCTATATTGCCTTTCCTACCCTCAGCACCCCATTAGTTCTTATTTTTTAGTGCACCCGCATGTTTTGAGAGAATCCCCCTGCTAATTCCTAAAAAGCAGGTGCCTGGGAGACAAACTTTTCTCAGAAATTTTTGTCTAAAATATCTATTTATTCTACATGTCTACAATATATATTTACCCCACTCTCACATGTGATTACTTGGCTGGGTATAGGAGCATGAAGTTCTACACTGAAAATCATTATCCCTTAAACTTTCTCATTGCCTCATTCCAATGTGTCTGTTGTCAAGTGCAATGACATTCTCTGTCTGATTCTGTGATTTCTCCTTGAAACTTTTCTCTTTGTCCCTTAATCACTCCTTTCTGATATTTCATAGTGGCGTGCATGGGTAACAGACTTTTCCCCCCAGTCATTCTGCTGTGCATTCAGTGGGGCATCTCTGGTCTGGAGTCCCATGGTCTTTGGTCCTCACAAATTTCTCATATGTCTTTGACATTTTCCTTTATTCCCTTTTTCTGAAGCTATTATTTGGATATTAGAGCTCTTGAACTGGTCCTTTAATTTTCTTATCCTTTTTCTCCTATTGCTGATTTGTTCATTTTTTGTTCTATTTCTGGACTATTTCTTGAACTTTGTATTCCAAATATTCTGTTAATGTTTTTGTTTCTGAAACCCAAAAGCTTTCCAAAGTCTTTTTTATTCTTTAATTTCTCAATGACGATCCTTATTATTATTTCAAGGATGTAATGACTTTTATATTTCATAGAATATTAATCATAGTTATATATGAGTATTTGCTCCATCTTCCAAGTTCCTTTTTTTTTCCTGTTTATTCAATCATTTTTCTTTCTTTCATGTTGGAGGTTTTCCTCTAATGTCTGGTGGTTATTGGCTGTCCATTCGTTTTGAAGAACAAGGCCCTTGAAAGCTAACTGGAATCTGTATGTCTCTTTGTTGATGACCAAATAATAGAGGATCCGTAGTGGGTTTTGCCTGTGTTCTCTTAGGCTGGTCAGTGTCAGCAGAGAGAGAAATCTGCATCTTCTGTCTGAGACTATCAGCCTGGCTTGGGTTCTTAGTGTGTGAGCCTGCAGAACTTAACTGCCTTTTTTCAGTTTAGCACCTCACCTCTGCCCTTAGTTATTTCCCACATCCCCAACACTGGGACTTCTCCAGCCCAGCTTCTTCAAAAAATAAACTTTCTCTCGATTTCTTGCTGTGGTGAGGGAGGGGATTGTCCTTGTTTGCAGCACACAGGTGCATTGAGATTCAAGCTTTGTATGCTGTTTTTCAGCCAACCCTACTGTACCCATTCCCCAGCCCCACCTTCCGCCCTTCTGCAAAACCTGCTGCCTCCAGTTCCTCAGCGTTTCCTGCGTGAACCAGATTGCTTCTTACTGGTTTCACGCACTAAATGTCCTTGCATTTTCGTCTTCCCTGCTTTAATCTACTTCCAGTTCCTACACTTTTTGTTGCCAGTTATATTTTAAACACCGGCTGTCCACGGTCACCACCTCTTGTTTTCTTTTTTCCTATGGGCTTACTTCTTTCATATTCATTCACTGCCATTTTAATGGGATTTGCAGAATAAGTGATACTAACCACACATAGTCAAACTGGCATATTTATAAGAAATCTTATTTTTTTATTCTTACTTAAGAAAGATAAATTTATTCGAATGCCTCTATCCTATCCTGAATAATAAAAAAGGTCTTCTACAGAATGCCATAACTACATATTTGCCCATCTTCTATGCTATTATGACCTAGTATTTTGGGTTGTTGTTTTTTTTTTTTAATCTCATTAATTACATCACTTGTTGTAGCTGTTTTTATATTTCTCATTTTAAAAATTCCCATATTTGTCACCAGTGATTCTGGAACCCATTCTTTCATGTTGGGTCCAATGTTCTTGCTTCTGAACTGCATTAGCAAGGGTCTAAGTCTTGTTTGTTTTACTAAAATGTTTTATTTTTGCCCTTTTAGATGATAGTTTATATCACAGTTTTGCCCTGAGGACCATTTTTCTCAGATCTCCATTTCAGATCTTGTTCTGCATTTGTTTGGATCCCCTGGGAAGCAGACATCAAGGTGAGATTAGGTTGGAAGACATTTGTTGAGGGAGGTGCTGGTGAAGAAAAAAGGGAGGGAGCTGGAGGAAGGGGAGGCCACGCCCTGTGGGGCAGGTCTGACTCCTGCGAAGGAGATGGGGAAGGAGGGCATGGTGGGTGGGGCAGCAGGGTCTTAAGTTGCCCAAGAAAGTTCCAGCCAGGCTGGTGGGAGATGCAGTAAAGTCACTCATCAGAGCAGTCCTGAGACTCGCAGGGTGAGAACGCTCAGCCAGCGGCAGGGATCGGCTGCTGGAAGCGTGGCCTCAGCATGAACGTGGTGACAGATCCAGAGCGAGTCATGCTCCCGCCTCAGATCTGAGGGGCACGGATTCCTAGTCAGTGCGTGTCATTCGCTGTGTGGCCCTGACAAGGTCAATGGCTGTATGTTTCATCTCTAGACATTTCATTTTATTCTTTCTCAAATCTGCTTATTCTTTTGCCTTGATATCTTGGTTTACCTTAAGGATTCCATTCCTTCATTTATCCCTCTCTTTAATAGAAATATAATTATTTTGCTTTCTCTTTCAGATTACTTTATACTCTCAGATTCTTGGAGGTGTTACTCTTCTGCTTACAGTGTTTGCTGATTTTCACCCAGGCATATCATTTCCTTACAGATCTGGCAGTGTTTGTTCTGAGCTCATCTTCAGTAGGAATTATTTTGTCTTTGATAATCCAGTGTGGCCTGTGTTGTGGAAACTGCAGATTGTTGGTTTTTACATCTGATACCATAGGGATACCATTAGCCTCTGAATAATTTTTGTGCCTTATTTTCATCTTGATGATTGTTTAACCAATGAGTTATACATTTTTTTCTGGAGATTTTTTTTCTTTATATTATTCTGGACATTCTTTACCATTCTTGGTGCTGAAGACGTAGTTTATCTAGCTTTCCTTCACGGGGCAAGCAGCTCTTCCTATCTTTATGCAGGGTTCAAGGGAGGGCAGAAGATTTGACTCCTATTTCTGTGTGGACATTAACTCTGAAGCTTCTAGGCCTGCCAGTTCCTGTTGTGGGTCTGCTGTCCCACCTCCTGACCACAGCCATATTAATCTCTACTCCCTGTTCTGCCTTTCAAGTAACTGTTTTTTCTGAGACCAGGTGGATTGCCCCCTCATACCTCCTTATTTTTTTTTAACTCTTACAACATCAGCCTTATATTTACATTATTTTTCTTATATTTTTCCCCAGAACCTTCAGATGTTTGTGGCAAGAGAGATTCCGTGTTAGCTAAATCCACTAAGTTTTGGCAAACAGAGAAACCCTTCTTTGATTATTCCTTCTACCTGGAGTGGTCTTCTGAATCTTTTTTATAAGTGCATTGTCTACTTATCCTTCAAGACCTGTCTTAGGAGATGTTCTTAGGGACCTTGCTTCCCACACCCTACTCCTTCAGCCAGAAATAATCACTTATTCTCTGAACAACAATACTATATTATTTAATATCTGCCTTATAGCATAGTGGGCCCCTTTTCATAATAACTATAGGATTACCTACAATTTTGAGGGAAAGGATATATCCACAGTCAAATACTACATTTGAGTATTATCAGTAAACACAGAGTATAGTGGTAGAAAATACCACATCAGGTGTTAACACACCTAACTTCCTTTTACTCGACTTACTGAATTATCACACCCACTCTATTCACTGTGCAGTATTGTAGGGGGATACAATTAAACTGTTTATATAGAAGAGCTTTATCAATTTCAGTGAGTTATGCAAATCTAAGATTTTTTTTATTCCATATTCCTTCAATGTTTCTTGAATCAATAGAAAACACTTGAAAAGATTTTGCTTTTATGATTTCATGGAAATGCAGTAAAAAAGGCTTGAAGAGGATGTGGCTTGCATATTAACTAAAATGAATCTTTCATTTAAAGAGAAATTTAAAAAATAAAGAGAAATAAACTTATTGATGAAAATAGCAAACCTAAATTGTAAAGGATGTTCTAGGAGAATTTATAAGCTAAGAGTATTTCACATATACACAACAGAAATATCTCCTTGGTATTTAAGTTAAAGTTAAAGCATAAAATAAGTGAGAAAGTGAGTGAGAATACAATCACACCGTCCCACCTATAGAGTTATAAGATCTCTTTGGTCACACAAGTTTCTTCATCCACCTTTCAGTGTTTTTGGTCCTGGAATCTCTGTAAGTATGCAACCAAATCAATCAGTGCTGTGAAATTAATACCACTCGAGCCCAGCGGTTAAGAACATGGGATCTGTAGGCAGACTGACTGAGTTTAAAGGCTGGCCCTCCACTGTGGACAAGTTATTTAACCTCTGGGTGTGTTATCTTACCATTAATACCCTCTGTTGTGAGCATTAAATGCAAGTACATGTAGAGTTAATCCATATAGAGCTTGGAACAACATTTGGCATGTATGTGCTGGTAACTACAAAGATCAACATCTACTACTGGCCAGGTGCCTAGTTAAGTTTTGGGAATACAAAGCTCAACAGGGTTCTTATAACAAGAAGACAGGAAACTGACTTTGAGCAAAACATGTGTCACAGTGCATAGAATGGTTGGATAGGCACAGAAACCAAAGAAACGTGGAAAAAATCTTGATGTAAACCATGAAATTACCTTTGATGCATTTAAGGGAAAGTATGTTTAGCTCTTAATAATACCTGTAGCAATAGGAAGGAGCAGGGGTGCCCATAATCACTGACAGAAGATGATTTGAAACTTATTTCCATTTGGCTTTGAAAAGCATAATGTGATCGTTAGGGGAACAATTTGTTCGTGTGTCTTACGGAAGTCAGTATTAAAGTGCTTTTTCATTTTGTGAAGACAACAGTCCACCATTTAAGGAATCAGCACGTAGTTTGTCAAAGGAAAGTCCATCTGGATCATTCATTGGTTGCAGAGAACTCACAAAGTATATAATATAGACAGGAAAATCTGCATCAATAAACTCTGTTAAATGAAAGAGTAATTCCACATCAGTGTAAATCGTTTTTGTAGAGAGAGGGGTTAAAATCTAAACCCATTCTATTATTATATTAAGCTAAATTCTTACAGTGAATGAAATTAAATTTTACCTTTATTTAACATAGATTACATTCTTTGTACTGTTATAACACATGTTCTTAGTAGGCAGTTGAAACAATATTACAACAATATAGTTTTCAAACTAACTAACTAACCATCTAAACTAACTGCTATGGAATACAAACCATTAGATAGTTTTCAAACCATCTAAACTAACTGCTATGGAATACAGAAAGAGCTATAGTTTCAAAGTGAAACAGAAGCTTTCTGATGTTAGAAATAGCGGTATAAAAGATCAGAGACAGGACTAAAGTAAGGAATACTGAATAATTCTAAGTTGTGTTAGTCATGTTTAAAACCTTCATTTTAAGTGAAAAATCTATTTGGACATATTGAAGGTAATGTTGATGTAATTCTTGTCTTCACTCAAAAGATTTGTAAATCCCATTTACTTTACTCCCCTTTTTCCTTCAGCTTTTGTTGTAAACTGGCTGTTGAGTAATAGTGAAACACTGTATGAATTGCCAGCTCTAGGTGTTTGCCACTCTTACCAACTAGAAAGCTTAAAGGGGCCATGGGAAAACTCATCTTGGAGACAGTTAGATTTGAGATAAACTCTAAATATAGAAAATAATTTTCAAATATTTCTTAGCAGGAAAATAAAAGAACAATGAGACAGCACAAATTCAGTGGAGTTGGAGTACATTTAAAATTAAAGGCATCAAACTTCAACGTGAGATTTCTGAAACGTTCCAGGTAAATCTGTCAGATGGGGGTCTACAACCACAATCCTTTCGCCCTTATGATAAGCTACTATGTCTCATACATAATAACATTCCTTTTTTTTTCTACCAGAAGCATGAATTCTGAACTCCAGCAGACAATGAACAGAAACCCAAAGATCAATGTGTTTCTAAAGAATTATATTGCTGCAGTGCTTCTAAGACTGTTTATTTATTGTGAGAAGCTTCACTCCTTCAAGGTTTTCAGTCATCCACCCCTTTTGTCCCTGTCAAGATGAAGCGGCCCCTTGTTTCTGACAATGGGCCACATCCGCAGAGCCCCTGGATGCACACAAAGGAGGTGGTACATCCCACTGTGCACACGGGCTTCTGCTGGGCAGCCATGGCATGGCCACCACTGTGTTGCACGCTGGCTAAGCCAATGCCACACGGGACAGAGCCGCTATGTGGCTCTCCCATTGCCCTCGATGGGAGAACACACTTAAAACACACAGTCTAAGACTAAACTCCTGAGCCATAGTACACAACAGAATTCCATATTTCAAATATTTTCCAAAAACGTTGATGGTAGCAGTGTAAGAAGAAAAAAATCATCACACAGTATTTTTTCCTGCTTTTAATAGAATATAGTTGCTGCAGCTAGGCACTTCTCTGTGCTCCATCTGCACAAATCTCTTTCATCATTTCTCATGCTGCCCTGTAATTTTTAAGTAAATGTTTGTCTTCTCCATTAGCCTATAAACTCCTCATGGGCACATATGATATCCTTCCCATTCATTGGTTTCTACTATTTTTTTTTTAATTTGCAAACCTAATATTTAGACATAGTTAACAAAAATCACTCCAGAAGTATATGTAATCAAACAGAGCTCTCCTTCCTGCTCTATCTTTTCTCTGGAAGCAACTATGATTGATTTGTGTATGTCCTTCAAGAAGACAGCTTTGGGGATGATGGATGTATTCATTATCTTTATTATGGTGATGGTTTCATGACTGGGTAAATATCATTTTATCAAGTTGTGTACTTTGTGCTGCCGTACATATGTGTAAATATATGTGTGTGTGTGTGTATATAAAAACTGTATATATGTATTGCTTTCTACGGGTTAATTATAACTTAATAAAGCTGGAAAAAATTATAGGCACAGTGGAAAGTCCAAGAGCTTTGGAATCAGACAAATGTGGCATCAAAACCCTGACATATTCTGCATATTAGCTATGTGACCTGGGCAAATTACTCAACCTCTCTGAGCTTTAGTTTCCTCATCTGTAGGACAGTGACAATAAGGCATCCATTTGGCAACTAAATGAATAATGCATTACACAGTCACGATGAGGATTATAGCAGATGACATATGTGAAAATACTTAATGTTAGCTGGTACACTGTCACACAATACAAGGTAGTGATTATTTACTAGTATCCTTACCTTGATCGCATCCTGGGCTGCAGTAACAGGTCCCAGTGATGTGGTCACATGTGGAGCTGTTCAGACAGTCACATATCTGGCGACAGCCATAGCCATATGTTCCTGCAGGGCACTCTGGGAAGAAGATCAAAGTCCACTGTAGCTCTCCAGCCTTGGGAATCCAGGCCATGGCTGTCATTTACTATTTGATCCAGTGTGTCTGGAGGCCATCCCTTTCAGGGGATTCCTGTTTAGGCAGACTTGTACCACCTGGGATGTCCTAGAGACAGCCAGCATTCCCCAAACCATGGTGGGACTCACAGGCCAGGTGGCACAAGGCCAGAGACTGAGCCCCTCATCATTGCTCCTGATGCTTTCAGCTGCCTTGTACCCACCTCTTTGATGGGTACGTAGAGACTCTGTAGAACCCCAGTGGAACTGATGAAGATCATTACCAAGGGCAATTTGAGATGACCCCAGCAAGCAAAACTGTGTGATGGGAGGGGACTAGACTGGGAAGTATAAGGTGGAGATGCTTCCTTGAGAATGTATGTTTTTCTGTAGGGTCAGGAATCCTTCTAAAGGCACATTCTGACTTGGATTAGCTGGGAACAGGAGAAGAGGGAGGGGAGCAAATTTTGTGAATTTTCTAGATGAACTTCATTTACCACAAAATGGCTCAAAATTTGGATTTGCAGGTTGAAGCCTGAGAGACTAAAAGAGTGGGATTTTTATGATAAAGTCTTAATAAAAACT